TATCAACAACTCTTTTGGTTCTCACGCACTATAGTTTGTATCTTTTCATCTCTGCAACAGTTTGTAACAGTCTTCGGGTGTCAAACATTGTTCGGCCATTCCATTTACATAAAATTATGGTTGCTTCGGCTGTAAGAAGGGGCATAGGCTTCGTGACTTCCAAAGAAACTCGGCTTTCACTATGAGAGACTTCATAAAAGTGGCGAATGAAGACCACCCATCTTTCAGGGCACAGTTAAAATGGTTTAGAATAATTTTTCTGGTTAGCATTGTTAGCAAGTTCGTTTTATACAGGGTGCAGTCGCCAACTCAATAACTAACTCTCCTCCTTTATCCGTCTGTGGGACTGGCAGTAACCAGACAGGGGCGCCATTTGTAGTTACTCATCTGAAATACTTGTAAGAAAATATTTTGCGTTTCACTCGAGATCATATTTCAGTCCTATTGGGGATTACTATTTCTGCAGGTCCAAAACTTGTCGGGCTGTTACTACTGTGGATTAGGTATAAATGTGCATTGCCCTAGCGAATAGTGCGGCTTTTCAGGCATATTGGGAGCCTTTAGGATGTAGCGACAGAAAGATGTATAATAAAGTATTAAGGAAAGTGTGAGAATATACTAGTTGTAAATATGGCAATGGACAGACTTACTTACTTACTTACTTTCGCCTGTTACCCCAAATGGAGCATAGGCCGCCCACCAGTTTTCTCCAACCAACTCTGTCCTGGGCTTCCCTCTCCAGTTCTGTCCAATGTTTGTTCATTCCTCTCATATCTTTCTCTATTTCACGGCGTAATGTATTCTTTGGCCTTCCTCTTTTCCTTTTGCCTTGAGGGTTCCATGTGAGGGCTTGTCTCGTGACGCAGTTAGGTGCTTTTCGTAGAGTGTGTCCTATCCACTTCCACCGCTTCTTCCTGATTTCCTCCTCCACTGGAATCTGACTTGTTCTCTCCCACAGTTCGTTGTTACTGATGGTGTCTGGCCAACGAATACGAAGTATTTTACGTAGACAGCTGTTAATAAACACTTGTATCCTCTGGATGATGGCTTTGGTAGTTCTCCATGTTTCCGCTCCATACATTAGAACTGTCTTGACATTTGTATTGAAAATCCTGATTTTGGTGTTGATTGATATCTGTTTGGAGTTCCAGATATTTTTCAACTGTAGAAATGCAGCCCTTGCTTTGCCAATCCGTGCCCTCACATCTGCATCCGATCCACCTTTCTCGTCGATGATGCTGCCCAGATATGTAAAGGTGTTAATGTCCTTCAAGGCATCTCCATCAAGAGTGATTTGGTTGGTGCATGTTGTGTTGCATCGGAGAATTTTGCTCTTTCCTTTATGTATGTTGAGACCTACTGCTGCAGAGGCTGCTGCTACACTCGTCGTCTTCTCTTGCATTTGTTGTTGAGTGTGCGATAGAAGAGCCAGATCATCTGCGAAGTCCAGATCGTCCAGCTGCGTCCTAACTGTCCAGTTGATACCGTGCTTCCCTCCAGCTGTTGACGTTTTCATAATCCAGTCGATGACCAGGAGAAAGAGAAAGGGTGAGAGTAAGCAACCTTGCCTGACACCGGTCTTTACCTCGAAAGAGTCGGTTAGCTGTCCTCCGTGCACGATTTTGCAGTTGAATCCATCATAAGAGTTCCGTATGATGTTGACTATTTTCTCAGGCACACCGTAGTGTCGAAGAAGCCTTCACAGTGTTTTCCTATCCACGCTATCAAATGCTTTCTCGTAGTCGATAAAGTTGATGTAGAGTGGTGAGTTCCATTCAATTGATTGTTCCACAATGATCCGTAATGTAGCAATTTGGTCAGTACACGATCGATCCTTCCGAAATCCGGCCTGTTGATCTCGAAGTTGGGCGTCTACGAAGTCCTTCATTCTGTTTAACAATACTCTGTTGAAGACTTTGCCTGGTATTGAAAGAAGAGTGATGCCTCTGTAGTTCTCACACTTGCTGAGATCACCTTTCTTTGGTATTTTGATCAGGTATCCTTCCTTCCAGTCTGATGGTACTTGTTCCTCATCCCAAATCTTCTTGAAGAGGATGTGAAATATTTTCGCGGTTGCTTCTACATCTGCTTTCATTGCCTCTGCTGGAATGTTGTCTGGTCCTGCTGCTTTGCCGTTCTTGATTTGTCTGATGGCCATCCGGATCTCCTCAACTGTAGGTGCGCCAATATTAATTGGGAGGTCCGTGGATGCTGCTTCGATGTTGGGTGTCTTCAGAGGAGCTGGTCGATTTAGGAGTTCCTTAAAGTGCTCTACCCACCTATTTCGCTGTTGTTCAGTGTTGCTGATTACTTTGCCTTCCTTGTTTTTCACTGGTCGTTCTGGTTTACGATAGTTCCCGGCGAGCTTCTTTGTAGTTTCATACAATTGTCTCAAGTTTCCGTCTCTTGCAGCCTTTTCCGCCGTCGTTGCTAGATCTTCCACGTATTTTCGTTTGTCAGCTCTGATGCTCTTCTTCACTTCCCTGTTTGCTTCTGTGTATGCAGCTTGTGCGGTAACTTTCTCCGCTCTTGTTCGGCTGACATTGATTGCTGCTTTCTTGTTCCTCCTTTCTTCATTTTTTGCGGGAGTATCAACAGAGATCCATTCCTTATGATGCTGCTTCTTGCGACCAAGGACCTCCTGACATGTTGAAGTGATTGTCTCCTTGATCTCTTTCCAATTGTTCTCCAATGTTGTGTCCTCTCCATTGTGTAGATCCTGAAAGGCCTGGAACCTATTGGTGAGGGCTATCCTGAATTCGTTGAGCTTTACAGTATCCCGAAGAAAGGCCGTATTAAAATTGTGTGATGTTGTCTGTCCCGTTGTCCAGTGCTTCTTTAGTTTCAGTTTCATTTTGGCGATTAGCAAATGGTGATCTCAAGCTATATCAGCTCCTCTCTTGGTTCTCACATCCTCCATGGTCCTTCTGAACTTTTTGTTGATACAGATATGGTCAATCTGGTTTTGAGTAGTGTGGTCCGGTGAAATCCATGTAGCTTTGTGTATGCGTTTGTGCGGGAATATTGTGCCACCGATGACCAGTTTGTTGAAGGAACATAGGTTTGCAAATCTCTCACCGTTTTCGTTCCTTTCTCCCAGTCCATGTCGTCCCATGATGTCTTCATATCCAGTGTTGTCCATTCCAACCTTGGCATTCAGGTCTCCCATAAGAATCGTCAAATCCTTTGGTGAACATTTCTCGACGATTGACTGCAGCCTTTCGTAGAATTGATCTTTTTCGTCGTCATTGTAGTCGTTGGTAGGTGCATAACATTGGATGACGATCTTTGTAATGTCCTCTTTCTTTGTTCTGAAGGATGATTTATTGATCCTGGGTCCATGAGATTCCCATCGTATCAGTGCTTTGTGTGCATGTTTGGACAGCATCAGTGCAACTCCTTGTGTATGTGAAGCGTTTTCCTCTTCATGACCAGAGTATAACAGCAGTTCCCCTGAAGCAAGTCTCAGTTGTCCTACTTGTGTCCAATGTGTTTCACTGATGCCGAGCACCTCGAGATTGTATCTTCTCATTTCTGCCGCAACTTGAAATAGTCTTCCAGTCTCCCACAATGTACGAACGTTCCATGTACCTAAAAGAATGGTTGCTCTGGTTGTCAGAAGAGGCATCAGCCCCGTGACTTCCGAAGGAACTTGGCTTTCACCACGCGACGTCATAATTCTTCTTGCAACTCCCAGGGCAGAGTCAAAATGGTTTGAATTATTTTTTCTGGTTAGCGTTTTTTTGGCAAGTTAGTTTTTGACGGAATGGGGTCGCCAACCCCATGTCCAACCCTCCTCCTTTACCCGGGCTTGGGACCGGCAGTAGCCCCGAAGGTTCTACTGGCGGAGTTCTATGGACAGAGAGACATAATTAATGGGTTGTAGATGGCATGCACGTGATACAACAAAATGACTAGGCTATCAAAAAACACTTTCACAAATTAAAAATTGTGACATAAATCTTTTCTCGTATCCATTCCAGTCTTCTCACGCTGGACTGATGTCGAAGAAAGTTATCCATCTGAACTGTTGTCTGAAAAGATTTCATTTCAATTCCAGATAGTTTGTCAACTTAGTTTTTCAATGTGTTTGTGTATGTAATTACCACTTAATTTTCTGTTTTTTAAATGAATAATCATTGTTTGCTGAGAATTTCATACTTAAACATTTGATATTGAGCAAAGCTATTATTATTAGAAATCAACTGGTTTATGCTCGCTCGTTAAGATATTGGATGTTGGATGTTGGATGATACGCCGCGATAGTTCGTATGGGGTCGTTACGTTAAATAAATCCTGTTGGTTGGTTTGTTTTGTTGTCTTTATTGATCTAGGCCCACACTTTATTCTTACTATAAACAGTGTAATTAATAAAAAGCGGCTTTTATTTTGAACAATATCAAACTGGGCGAGTATCTTATAGCACTTCAGTGATAAGTAAAGGACAATCGAACTATATTAGTCCTTACAATTTATATTACTGAGAAAGTCCAATTTCGCTCTTACCATATAATCAGGCCTTTATAATACGTGTTCCAATAGGAAGTTCCAGTAGTTTGCAACTTGATGCGAGGAGTGGAACTCCAGGTAAAAAGAAAGGATAAGACACCAGTGCCAAAATCGTTGTTGTTGTATCTTGATGAGTGTTTTACGTTTGCTTAAATCACAATTTATCGTGCTCATTTTGTTCGTAGTTGACTTATGTTTGTGATATGTTTTATGCCCCCGTTCTGCGATTATCACTCAAAAGCTTAATTACATTTCGTTTATGCACACAATTGTACAGCTGCAGCAGCCTAGTTTGAACCAATCTTTCAGATACAAGTTTTTACTCAATAATTTTCGCAATCTAATTAGTGCATAAACCTGTAGATAATTACTGGTTTAATCTCAATTGATTGCTGAAAGTAAATGCAGTTATGTCACTTTCCTCCTGATTTGTTATTCAGTTTTTTTCTAACATTCCAGATCTTTCATTTTTAGTTTAACTGATCGTAAATATGAATAACGATAGACAAGACCAACTGTTTAGTGATCGTTCATCAGAAATTTCGCTCAACAATTCAATTCTGGGTGTGATCAATACTGAAAATGCAACTTCACCATACCTCAAATCACTGCCATCGACAACATTATTCCCAGTCCATGCATCCAATACTTTGAATTCTTTGTTATCACGATCACATTGGCAAGTACCTGTTCTGCCAGATTCTCAATTAGAAACTGTCTTACTAGCATCAATCGAAATGGCTAAACATGGTTTGGTGATCGTATTCAGTTGTTTCTAAATATCTTTTTATCTTTTTGTGATTTTTTTAGGTGAAGATATTCATTCACAAGATTGTTTACAATTTTATTCGAATGGTCTAATTAATTCTTTTCAGAAAATATTTCGTGATGATGCAGTTACTCGTTGGGATTCACATATCTTAGTATGTGTAAATAAATTGTTTAATGTCTATTAACTTTTTTTTTCTTTTTCCAACAAAGCATTTTATTTATGCTAATTCTTTATTGGCCATTGAATTATGTTCCATCAAAGCGAAATCGGATTGTCTAGCAATATTGGAATTGGAAAGTATTCTATTTGATCCTAATGCACGGTAAGTTAATAATCATCTGTTTAAAAACTAAAGTGACGAAAAATTTAGTAGCTTTTATACTTATTCGTAACTCACTGGAAGTCCAGATACATACTACAATGTAACACATTCATTTAACCTCACTTTGTCCAGATTGCGAATCAACTCAATTTACACTTCCTTTATCTGAGTCTCACTGCTGCTTTCCATGGCCTCGCTAATGTATGTAAAGCAATAAGTTGTAAAGCAGAACTTTATGGCTGTGAAACATGGCCAATGAGAGTAGAAGATACTCGTCGGTTATTGGTTTTCGATCATAGATGTCTTCGAAGCATTGCTCGTACATCGTGGGACACCCGAGTGAGCAACGCTGTTATTAGGAAACGGGTACTAGGTAAGAATGGCTGATCAATCGATGAAGTGGTGAAACTTCATCAGTTGAGGTGGTTGGGACACGTGTTGCGTATGCCTAACCATCGACTCCCTCATCGAGCTTTGTTTTGTAGTGTAGGAATAGGTTGGAAGAAAGCTAGGGGCGGCCAGACCAAAACATGGCAGAAATCCATGAAGTCATTGACGAGTGGACTTAGCCATGTTGGTAATTGTCGACTACCTGGTTGGGGTCCGCGAGATGATAATAATCGATGGCTAGAGACCTTGAATGACATGGCTCAAAATCGTTCGCAACGGCGCCAGTGCATTCATTCTTTGTGTTCTTTCAAATCCTAATCTTCTGGATTCTTCAACACCTCTAGTTCTGACTTTCTAAACTTATCTCACTGAATCATACTTCTTGAATAATATCTTCTAATCCTAACCTCTCTGATTACTTCTGCTACCTTTACTACCTCTACTACTATTGGATTTGAATTGAAAATTACATCTCTGTGCTGATGTGGTATGGCGACATGAACTGATGTACTTACGTACGAAGTTCTACGTTGCAACTGACTGACTGACTGAAAGCAGAACTAGTAGATAGTCGCTTATGCGCTATCCCACTGAACGGGACTGTAAGGACTCGGAAAGATACGGATACTCGCCGCTTCCTCTTCGTCGTCTCTACCTACACTCCCACTGACTGCATTTCAGATGAGTTTTACATAAAGCTTTCGGACGTCCTTCAAAAGGTTATTCTCTCTGATGTAGTGATAGTAGCTGATGACATTAGTGCTCGAAGTTGAAGAATTCTTAGTAAATCTGAGTGAGGAAGACAATCAGGTCCCGACAGTTTAGCCCCTGAGATTTTAAAGGATAAGCGTCCAGTTTTATCAGTTACATTGACTGAGACCTTAGGTATAATTTGGGAACTGGATGTAATCCCATGTGTCACTGATTATGCAAGTCTATAAGAAAGAACAAAAATCATGAAGGAATCATTTTAATTAATATAGTGTCTAAAATATTAGCCCCTAGAGCTTGTGAAAAGCAGCCGTAAGAAATCCTGGCTGCTTTCAGACCTGGAGGTGGTCGTATTGACCATAGATTCAAACTTTGACAAGTCCTAGAGCACATACATTTAGGCGTCCGACAGTAGTTGTCTTCCTTGACCTTAAAGCGACAGAGGTACATTAACTGCATAAAAGCTCTCTACTCGAACACTACAGCTTAAGTTAGAGCTACTGGCAAACTGTCATCGGAATTGGTTTCTTCAAATGGTGTCCATCAAGGCTGTCCACTTTCTCCAATCGTGTTTAACTTTGTCTTCGATATGCTTTCAGATTCGACACTGACTTTTCAAGAGTTGAACTTTTATCAGGAGATTCACTAGTTGACTTAGAATATGCCGATGATATAGTTCTACTTGGTAAAGATGCAGAGTAATCTGACTACTCTAAGCGATTTGGACTGATGTACATACATAGCTAGTTATACGCTGTAACTGACACTGACTGACTGATTAATAAACCTTATCTGTGTATAACTTTAACAAAACACATCAACAACTCGAATTTGAAGTTGGCAATATGAAATTGTATTGTAGTATTATATCACATGTAAACAAGACATACATTATTTAATTGTAAAGTAAATGTATGTATTATTCATCATAGTATAGTATAGTTTATAATCAAGATAATTAAGTTACTTGTCCATAAGATCGCCCGTTATTTTTAGACAGGCTTTAGAGGTGTCATCTAGCCTTGATGGCTTCTAGTATTCCAAGAAACTGGAGTTCCTTGGTTTCCAAACTTTCTAAAAAAAACAAAGTCAACTCAAGCATAATATTCTCTTTAATCTATTTCATTCCTCTTTCATCTTTCCATTTCTCTTTTTCTGTCTAATTGTGTACACTTAACTACGTAGATTTCACACACGAAGTATGATTTCTACTAGTGTTACACAAGAAATTCGTTTCGGTGTCCATAGGAATGTTGTATGTCGATTTGAAGATATAATTAGATTATTGCCACATGTATCAATATTAAATGAGCATGAGAACACATGTCAACAATCAATAGACGAGAAGATGAATTCCATGAACAAGGAGGAGGAGCCTCATGATCCTTTAGTGGCAAGAAGCAATACAACCGCACCAAAAGAATATTCTGTTCATTGTACAAATAATCGTGATGTACCTATTCTAGTGGATTTTATTAATCTATTTGGACGATTCAATGGATTTGATCGATTGAAAGAACGTTTCAATGAATTAGATGACAGTTGGAATCAGCAACAGCAGCAACAACAACAACAAGGTGAATTGGTACAACAGCACGATCATCAACAACAACAACAACCTCAGACACGATTCTTATCAATTAGTTTAATACATGCTTATCTGTATCCATTTGCTTTATGCTCGAATTATTTGCATGATTCGGTAATTGAAGAATATTTCAAGCCAATAATGGTAAGTTTGTGTTCATTTTATTTTTATTTTCTCTTGAATGAGGTCGTTCCTAGAAGCGTTTTGTCTGTCTGTTTGTCTGCTGCAGACGCCGGAAATCCTCGTATTGCGATTGTCAGATAACTTTCCACGTGGTTTTACGCTAAAACAAATGTGATAACCATGTTTTTCTCAGCAGCCATTTGATTATTACTGAGTCATAATAAAGCATCATCTGCCCGACTGAATTGTTGAGCGCATCGTTATTGGACCTCGAAATCATACCCCAAAAGTATTAAGGCCTATCGCGTAGAGTATGTTTTCTACAGGCACCCAGAAAATTCGAGGATGCTAAGCACATAACTCAAGCTTATTATTTGTACAATGGTAGCAATGCTCTTGGGAGAGCCACAAAATAATGTACTAAAATAATCCATCAGCCAATGACAGTCAAGGATTTTCCGAGTGGGAAATATAAGCTGAAGAAGGTCAACTAAGCGACTTATGCTTGAAAACATAAATCCAAAATTAGGACCTTTTTCAAGTGAGTGAGTTCAGGGGATCTAACGTCACCAACATTGGACTGAATGCGTGAATGATTGAATATTTCAGCTGGAAAATGTTGGAAACCGTTAAGAAAATTAGGGTCTATCTGAAAATGACTCAGAAAAATACTTATAATTAAAATTTCCATTTGTGAAATGCAAAGGTGAATAATTATAAAGATTGTATAACGTTCTTAAGATATCACCAGCCTAGTGAAGATGCAAGGCTTCAATGCAATCAAGTCAAGCTGAACAAATTCAAATAAACCTTCAAGTGTAGTTGGTCACAAAATGCCTATTTCTAAAACCAAAAAAATTTTTCAACAACTCTGAAGACTTATTTTTAGCTAATCAGTACTATTGGAGATCTGGATAAGACTTATCATCGATGTCTCTGAAGTATTGCTCGTGTATCCTGGGACAACCGACTAAGCAATGCTGTCGTTAGGAAACGAGTTCTAGGTAGGGATGGCAAATCAATCTGACTGGTCTCAATCACTGATTGTCGCAATTTATAAGAAAGAACGGAAGTCTTCTTGTGACAGTCTCAGAGGATCAGTCCAACTACTAGCCTCGATAATACTTAGGTGCCTAACTAGTGCTCGTGAAGAGCAGACTCGAGAAAACCAGGCTGGTTTCCGTCCTGGATGTGGTTTTATAGACCACATCTTCACACTACGACAGGTCCTGGAAGATAGACACACATTTAGGCGTCCTACAGTAGTTGTCTTCCTTGACCCTAAAGCAGCATTTGACTCTGTTGATTGTTGAGGTTCTGTGTCAGTGTCCGTCATTAAATCGTGTACCAAAGAAGTTCATTAACTTTATAAAAGCTCTCTACTCGAACATTACTGGTCGAGTAAGAGCTTATGTCGAACTGTCATCGGAATTGGTTTCTTCAAATGGTGTCCATCAGGGCTGTCCACTTTCTCCAATCGTGTTTAACTTTGTCTTCGACGTGCTTTTAGATTCTACACTGACTTTTCAGGAGTGAACCTTCTAGCACGTAGACTTCGGTGAAAACGCTGACAAAATGCAGTCTTCTGACTACCCTGAGCAACAATGCAAGCATGTTTGGGATGCGGTTCTCCTCGTCGAAATGCGAAATATTGCTTTAAGATTAGCTTGCGTAGGCACCTGAACTAGTTATAGGGAGTAAAGCATTTGAGCATATTGACCGCTTCACTTATTTCGGGAGTCTCATCAGTTAGAGACCGTGAATGACATTGTTCAAAATAGTTTTGCAATCGCGCAGGTGCATTCATTCATTGTCTTTTCTCAAATCCTTAACTTCCTGATTCCTCATCACTTTTTCTTTTTAAGTTAACTTCACTAGCTTCTACTTGTTGAATAATATTGTCAAACTCGAAAATTTCTGATTACTGCTCACACTACTACTACTACTACTACCTCTACTACTATGGGATTTGAATTGACAATTACATCTCTTTACTAATGTTCACGTACGAAGTTCTATGTTGTTATTGACTGACTGACTTTATCATGATAATTCATTCTCATGTAATTCACTTTGTTAGACTAAAATCAACTAACTATCTTATTTAAACTATGTATGTCTGATTTGACCGACTAGTTGAATATTGATTTGATTTTGACCAATTTGGTCTCGTGTGCTGTTACGGCTATGAGGGCGGTTATCACTTCCCGGCTGCCCACACCGTGGAAGGGTGTTTCTTGAGCGACCTGAAAAGGAAGATAGATTAGTGTTGGTCTTGGAGACCTGGAAGCGTGACCGCAGAGCCCAAGGGACAACTGCTTGAGACCGGTCACGCACGGCCTTTTTATGAAATGTTTTTTGAGGATTAGCTCCGCTCTTAAAGGCCCTTAGTGGGCACCCTTACCGACGGAGACGGAAATCCGTGAGGTAGGGTGAGGTGTGACATTTTTAGGGTCGACCTTTTCTAACCCTTCGTTCCTTGTGAGAAGGCAGCATCGCTGCAGATGCTGGTTATCCGAGTGAAACACCTTACTGCCGTCACACCCCTCTGCAGTCAGTCAGCAGTACGACTTCGTCCTCAGACCTTGAGTAGCTGCTTTTAGTCTGATCGTTCTGCAATCGACCTGCCTGGCATGGTAGAACCTTCAGGAACATATGTTCCAGCCAATATAGCTTGGTTGTGTCATCACGATAGGCAAACCCGACCACCACCACGTCAAGGTAGCAGCTTCGGTCGGTTGAATATTATTATCCATTGTTCAGTGAATATACAAAGCAACAGAATAGTTGATTCATGTTCAAGAGATAGATTCATAAGTAGTATGTGCATGTTATTTATTATTACACTGATAATTAGAGATACACATTTCCTTTTTTCCAGCCGTTTACCTTAATAAATATTGATTTTATTTTTCTTCTCTGTTGTATTGTATATACAGACCATTGTTATGAATTATTTAACTCATATAACTGATGATCAAATTAAATGTGAAACGAAAAAAGAATTTCGTAATAAAGATGATCTTGTCACAAGTTTGAAATTTATTTTATGCACACTAACCAAACGTACTGTTACATCATCATCCATAGAAAATGATATTGAAACCATTGAATTGCTTAGTTTAAATTTAATTTATCGTTTATTTCAGGTTAGTTGAATTATTTTTGAAAATGTGTTTTGTTTTTTTTGTTTGTTTGTTTATTTAAAATGAGTTTTGCTTGAGAATAACCAAAACATTTGAACATTGATGATAAGGTATACACAGAGTGCATGGAAAGCTCGGTTTGCTTTTGCCTAATTTACGACGTTTATGGCGTAGGCGAGATATCCATCCGTTCACTAACCAAAGGACGGGTGTACTGCGAAGCAGTTGGCTCCGTTCTCCTATATGGAGGCGAAACATGGCCGTTAAGAGTAGAAGATGTTCGTAGGTTACTAGTATTCGATCATAGATGTTTAAGAAGCATTGCTCGTATATCATGGGAAAACCGAGTAAGCATTGCTGTCGTTAGGAAACGAGTACTAGGTAAGGATGGCAGATCAATAGATGAAGTGATGAAACTTCATCGGTTGAGGTGGTTGGGACATGTGTTACGAATGCCTAACCACTGACTGCCTCGACGAACTATGTTTTGTGGTGTAGGAGTACGTTGGAAGAAAGGTAGGGGCGGCCAGACCAAAACATGGCAGAAATCGATGAAGTCACTGACAAGTGGACTGAGTCATGTTGGTAGATGTAGGCTACCTGGTTGGGGTCCACGGGAGGATAGTAATCGATGGTTAGAGACCTTGAATGACATGGTTCAAAATCGTTTGTAATGGTTCAGGTGTGTTCGTTCCCAAATCCTAGACTTCTGAATTCCTCATCATCTCTATCTTTCTCTTTCTTAGGTTATCTTACTGAATTATACTTCTCGAATCATATCTTCGCTCTCTAATCTGCTCCATTACTGCTAATACTTCTACGATCGCTATCACTGTCGGATTTGAACTGACAGTTGCGTCTTGGTGCTAATGCTGTATGTCAGACAGACAGATACAACGCAGAACTTCGTACATAAGTACATTAGTTCCGATTTGCCATACCACATCAGCACAGAGACGTAACTGTCAGTTCAAATCCAAGAGTGATAGCAATAATAGAAGTATTAGCAGTAATGGAGAAGATTAGGGAGCGAAGATACGATTCGAAAAGTATAATTCAGTAAGATAAATTTAGAAGGAGAAAGATAGAGATTATGAGGAATTCAGAAGGTTAGAATTAAAAGGCAAACAAAGAGTGGATGCACCTGCACCCTTGCAAACGATTTTGAACCATGTCGTTTAAGGTCTCTAACCATTGGCGACTTTCGTCTCGCGGACCACAACCAGGTAGCCTACATCTACCAACATGACTCAATCCACTTGTCAGTGACTTCGTGGATTTCTGCAATGTTTTGGTCTGGCCGCCCCTAACTTTCTTCCAACCTACTTCTACAACACAAAACATGGTTCGTCACGGCAGTCGATGGTTAGGCGTACGTAATACATGTCCCAACCGCTGTATGTCAACCTGAACTGATGTACTTACTACGTACGAAGTTCTGTGTTATATCTTTCTGTCTGGTATAACTATGTTACAACAGTTTACCTAAGAAATTGTTTGAATAAATCTATCCTAAACTCTGTGTGTGTATATATATATATACATAATATATATATTTAATTGTTTTCACACTTGATCTACTGTTTTTATACGAATTCATTGATCAATATTGCAACAAACAAATAAACGAACGAAAAAATCTTTTCCTTTTTTTCTTTTTTCTTTTTTTACATCAGCTGTCTTCTTTCAATGGTAAAATGAACACTTTGAATGAATTGATACGTTTATTAGTTGATATTAATTCATTACGTATTGGTCAATGGATTCGCGATGTTCAGGTAATTGTTAGTTTGTTTTTTTTTCTATTTGACAATTTCATATTACAATATTCATTGGCATTGATGTTATACAGAATGTCAAGTTTTATGTTATGTATGAATGAATGATTGACTGATTTCAATCATCATATATATATATATATATATATATATATATATATATATAAGTCACGGGCGGCCAGACTAAATCATGGCAGAAATCCATGAAGTCACTAACAAGTGGACTGAGTCATCTTGGTAGATGTAGGCTATCTGGTTGGGGTCCGCGAGACGAAAGTCACTGTTGGTTAGAGACCTTGAACGACATGGCTTAGAATCGTTTGCAATGGCGCAGGTGCATCCACTCTTTGTGTGCTTTTTAATTCTAACCTTCTGAATTCCTCATCATCTCTATCTTTCGCCTTCTAAATTTATCTCACTGAAGTATACTTTTCGAATCATATCTTCGCTCCCTAATCTTCTCCATTGTTGCTTATTATTCTACTATCCCAATCACTCTTGGATTTGAACAGTTGCGTCTCTGTGTTGACGTGGTATGGCAACCTGAACTGATGTACTCATGTACGAAGTTCTGCGTCGTATCTGTCTATATATATATATATATATATATATATATATATATATATATATATATATATATATATATATATATATATATATATAATCATGTCATTTCATTAGGGAATGTTAGCAGATGTGAATAAAACTAGTCTAATATAGAAACAATATTAACCAAGTTTTAAAATTAATTGCTTAGTTTTCAAGTCAGACTTATTATAGACAACTCATTCTTATGTACACCTTGTAAATGAAATAGACCTGTATGCCAAAACGGTACATTCTGAATGATTGTGGTGGTGTTTGGTTCTCTGAGATGGATGTTTCGGTTGTGGAACTTTCATTGTTCTTCTTCTCAACAACAACATTATCGGCACAAACTTTGGATAGCAGAAGTGAAGTATTTGAATTTCTCCACGTTTGTTCTGTTAACCTCGATCTTCATTGGTTGCTGTTGACGTTAAACCTGTCGTTGTTTGCACATTTATTTTGATTGTGTATCCCCCTTTTGGTCTGTTTCTTGATCCTATGTTTGCCTACGATTTTTTCTGATTGGTTGATAAACTGAATATGTGACAAATTCTTTAGCCAAAAAATGAGACTTCTCAATGAGAAACACTTGTGTTATTGCGATATGAAGTTTGAACCCGTTTGTAAAGACCATCTAATGTTATGGATTGAAAATAGAGGTACCAATGAATGTGAGGTGGATCTACTTACCAATCGACTGATATCAATCAACTCTAATGTATCTTATCAGTTTAGTCTCATTGTCTTCTCTTTTCTCCTACGTATCTACACGGGATTTGATTCTATTTTCTGTGAATTTGAATGGAAAAGCGCTTGCTAATTGTTTCTGGCTGATTCTCACTTATTTGACAGTGTTTCAGTACGTCAACAAGTTGTCATCCTTGATCTATCCGAGTATTTCATTTTATATCATTCCAACTACTTTCTGAACAATCATATACACTGCCTTCCAGAACTCACATGTAACTAACTTCATGTGCACATTGTACACATTGTACAGTCCTACTTATTGTGTAAACGTCACTTGAATTGTTAGTCTAATATTTGGCAATGCTTTTTCTGATTCTTAAATAATCTGTAGGATTACCACTAAAGCACATGTTTACATATTCAGAAATTATCAGAAAGCAATGTGTTTTGATTAACTACTTGATTTAAATGAGCACCCGCACTTCGCTCCTATTTTAATGATCATCAAGCGTAAGGGCATTGCAATGATTTATATCACTAAAATTCCCAATACATACAATCAAACAGTCCAACTGAAGTATGTGTTAGCTAATTCAAGTAAGAATATATAAGTTTGCGAAATCTTTAGATTGATCGAAGTTAAACATGGATGAAGAAGACTCAGTGGTCCAAAAGTTCGATGTTCGCGCGTGGGACCGAATTTCCTGGCTTCCAGTCTTGTGAGTAGCAGCAAGTAGGAGTCGTAGACAGACAGAGACAGATACAACGCAGAAACTCGTACGTAAGTACATCAGTTCAGGTTCCTATGCCACATCAGCACAGAGACGCAACTTTCAGTTCAAATCCAGCAGTGATAGCAGTAATAGAAGTATTAGGGAGCGAAGATATGATTCGAGAAGTATAATTCAGTAAGATAAATTTAGAAGGAGAAAGGTGGAGATTATGAGGAATTCAGAAGGTTAGAATTTCATAGAACACAAACAGTGGATGCACCTGCGCCATTGCAAACGATTCTGAGTCATGTCGTTCAAGGTCTCTTACCATCGGTGACTATCGTCTCGCGGACCCCAACCAGATAGCCTACATCTACCAACATGACTCAGTCCACTTGTCAGTGACTTCATGCATTTGTGCCATGTTTTGGTTTGGCTGCTCCTAGCTTTCTTCCAATCTACTCCTACACTGAAAAACATAGGTTGTCGCGGCAGTCAGTTGTTAGGCATACATAACACATGTCCCAACCACCTCAACTGGTGAAGTTTCAATACTTCATCTATTGATTTGCCATCACTACCTAGAACTCGTTTCCTAACGACAGCATTGCTCATACGGTTGTCCCAGGATGCACGAGCAATGCTTCGGAGACATCGATGATCGAATACTAGTAACCTACGAAAGTCCTCTACTCTTAACGGCCAAGTCTCGCATTATCCATATAGTAGAACGGAGCGAAATGATGGGCAGTAGACTCGTCCGTTGGTTAGCAAACGGATATCTCGCCTACGCTATATGTGATGCAGGTTGGCAAAAGCCAATCGAGCCTTCTGTATCCGTGTTGAGATTTCGTCAGTCACCAGGCTATCAGCACTGATGAGACTCCCAAGATAAGTGAAGCGGTCGTAGATGCGCACTTCCACTGACGATGGAGTAGTCTACTATACTATACCATGCAGGACCAAACGGTCATCTTCTGCACAATGCTTCCAGGTTCCTTTCTAACAACAGGTGATGATGATGACGATGATGATAGTAGTGGTCTAACATTGATCATTCATTCGTCATTTCAACAATACACACAACCATCTATATATCTGTGTATAACTAAACTGTATCATGAAAAGAAAAAAACAAAACACAACTTATCTACTTATTGATTTTATTGATTAATTTTGTAGTTATTAAAATTATTGCTTCGTGAAAATCTGCATCAATTACAATATGTGGAGAAAGTCGAGGAGATTATACGTTTTATGATTAGAAAATCAATGTTAACACTGGATGATTTAGACATGATATGGGAATCACAAACTGGTAAACATGAAACAATCATTAAAAATATATTTCATATGTTAACACGTTTAACATTAGAATTTTCAATGAATCAACTAAATTATTTATTTGATTGTTTCAAGGTATGCTTTTTCATTTATTGATTGATCGATATTGATTGATTGATTGATTGATATTTTTCTCTGTCTCTCTCTTACTCCCATCACCATTTCAATGTGTCTATAGAGATTGGCATAGTCGCATTCGTGTGTGTTGTATAGGTTTCTTAGTTATTAAGCTAAGCGTACAAACTACATATCGAAAAGTGTTTTAATGGTTTGTAAGTAATGCACGAATGAAGTCATATTGTCAATTGTATGAGTATATTGAAGGTAGGAAAATGGTTC